ACTTTCCCTCTCCATTTAAATCTGCATTCCCAAGCAACCGGACTCGAAGAAGACCCGGTCCCGGTGCACCGGGGGCCACTACCAGCCTCACACCCTCCATGGGCCCAGCCAACCCAGAGCCAGTTGCAGCGCACCACCTTGGTGGAAATGCACCCAATGGGGGTTGGGGCCGTCCAAGCGGTGGTCCCCTCTCGACACCCCCTGGAGGTGGGCGAGGGGGATCCATCGTCCTGGGCCGGCCGACCGAACCCGCCGGGTTGAATCCTCCAGGCAGACTGTGTGGACACCACCCGTTTACCTCTTAATGTTTTCACGCTCTCTTGAACTCTCTCTTCAAAGTTCTTTTCAACTTTCCCTTATGGTATTTGTTGACTATCAGTCTCGTGCCAGTAATTAGCCTTAGATGGAGTTTACCACCAGCTTTGGGCTTCATTCCCAAGCAACCCAACTCAAAGAAGATCCAATCCCGGTGCGCTGGGGGCCACTACCGACCTCACACCGTCCACTGGCCCAGCCGACCCAGAGCCAGTTGTGGTGCATCGCCTCAGTGGAAATGCACCCAATGTGAGCTGGGGCCGTCCGAGCAGTGGTCCCCTCTCGACACCACCTGGAGGGGGACGAAGGGGATCCGTCGTCCCAGGCTGGCCGTCCGAACCCACCGGCTTCAATCCTCCAGGCAGATTGCACGGACCCCACCCATTTACCTCTTAACAGTTTCATGCTCTCTTGAACTCTGAACATTTAAATCTGCTCTCTCTTCTGAGTTTACAAGGAGACATTGGCTCTTGGGCACCACAGGTACCAGAAATCTCATGCTAACCCTCCTGGGGCTATGATGTCTTTTCTGGCATCTGACTCTTCTGGTATCTGTAGTATCACAGAATGATGAATATGGGGCATCATTAGCAAACCTGTAAAAACAGATTTCATGGCAGGAGGATAGTAGTTTGAAAGAATTTTTGGAAAGTAAATAAAAATGGATTTCTCTGCTCAATCTCCTGTGCCCAGCTCAGTTAGCAAGGATGGTCAAGTCACATTTCTCAGCTTGCCTGCCATTCCATTTTTTCTTTACAGTTCACTTTTAACTAGAGATGGACCCCAAACTAGGACACAGAATTCAAACCACTCAGAAACATGAGGAAGATCAGATCTAGGTCCAGATTTCACCTTCATGGGTCAAGTTTATTTTTATGACTGGCCAGTTCAGAATTCCGAATCCCAACACTCTTGTGAAGTGGCTTGGGTTTGGATCTGAAGTTTAGAAACTTGAATTTGGATGGAAGCTTCACAACTGGCCCACTTTTGCTATTAATATTACAAAGTTTAATAGTGTGACTTTCCAGTTCTTATTAAATATAGTCTGACATTGAGGCCCCAATCCAGCAAACTCTTAAGCATATGCTTACTTATAAGCTTCTGAGTCGTCCCATTGAAATCAATGGAACTGCTCAAGTGCTTGAATTTAAGCATGTTTAAGTACTGTGCTAGATTAGGGCCTCTAGAAAAAATGAAATAAAATATATCATTGTCACAGTTTCAGGGGAACTGCTCTTGTATTCCCCACATCTCCTCACAACCCTCAGCTCCCCTGGCCCATGCTGCCTCCTCCAAAGCTGACTGCAAAGAGTTACAACGGGATCTCACAGAACTGGGTGACTGGGGAACAAAATTGCCCCATCACAAAAAAGATCTATTAGAACTGGAACAGCTACCAAGAAAGGCAAAAAAAATGATTAGCGGCATAGAACAGTTTCTGTATGAGGAGACATTAAAAAGACTGGGACGTTTCAGTTTGGAAAAGAAACGACTCGGAGAGATATCATAGAAGTACATAAAATTGTGACTGGTGTGGAGAAAGTGAATATGGAAAGTGTTATTTACTCCTTTAGGTAAACACAAGAACCAGGGGTCACCTAATAAAATTAATACGCCGCAGGTTTAAAAACACACACAAGGAAGTACTTCTTCACACAATACAATGGAACTTATTGTCAGGGGATGTTGTGAAGGCCAAAACTGTAACAGGCTTAAAAAAAGAACTAATGGAGATTAGGTCCATCAGTGGTCATTGGCCAAGATGCAAGGTGATCAGGAATGCAACCCTATGTTCTGAGTGTCCCTAGCCTCTGATTGCCAGAAGCTGGGAGTGGACAACAAGAGACGGATCACTCAATGATTGCCTGTTCTGTTCATTCCCTCTGAAGCACCTGGCATTGGCCAGTGTTGGAAGACAGAATACTGGGCTAGATGGATCTTTGGTCTGACCCAGTATGGCCATTCTTATGTCCAGATTTTTAGTGTCTAGCAAAGTTATGAATTTAAGCACTCGGGCTCATCTCTTGAAAGTGTTGTGCAGGTTTCTTTGAGGATGAGGACAGATAGGTCAGATATAGAGTGATTGCTTTCTGCAAAGTGTTCACCCATAGGTAATAGATTGTTTTTATCTCTCATTTTCCTGTGTGAGTTCATCTGAAAGCAAAGTGAGGGTCTGGTTTCACCCATATATTTGTTATTAGGGCATTTTAGTGCACTGGATGAGGCACACCATGTGTTGTGATAGGCATGCGTAGGATCCATGGATCTTGAAAGGTGTGTTGTGGGGGGTGTTGCTCATTGTAGCAGTGGAGAGATGTCTGCAGGTTTTGCATCTGTTGTTCTGGCAGGGTCTGCTGCCACTTTGAGTTGGTGTGTCCTGGTCTGTGGGGAGCTTGCTCCTGATGATGAGCTTGTGATGTTGGGGGGGATGTTGTTTGAAGGTCAGGATTGGGAGGTTCAGGAAAGATTGCTTTAAGGATGGGGTCCCCATTGAGTATGGGTGGTAGTTTGATATCCTGTATGAGTTCCAGTGTGGGGTGGTAGATGACAGCTAGGGGTGTGCAGTCATAGGGGGTTTTATTTCTGAATTGAAGCAGGTTCTCTTGGGGGCATTTGGGCGGCAGGTTCCATGATGCAATCCACTTCTCTGGTGCAGTGTCCTTGCTTGGCAAAGGCAATTTTAAGTGTATTAAACTGTATATCCTGGACTTGCTCCTTGGAGAGTATTCAAGTGCCTGGTTGTAGACAACAGATTTCTTGGTGTGTTTGGGGTGGTTACTGGATCTATGGAGAGTAGGTGTGTGTTCCGGGGGTTTCTTCTACATGGTTGTCTGTAGGGTTCCATTTTTGAAACTGATTGTGGTGTCCAGGAAGTCAATGCTAGTGTGGGAGTGTTCCAGAGAGAGCTTAATGGATGGGTGGTGGTTGTTGAAGTTTTGGTGAAAATCTATTTGGGAGTTTAAGCTGTCTGTCCAGAGGATAAAAAATATCATTGACGTATTATTGGTTTCATGGTGCAATGGTCCAGCAATTCTTCAAAGGTGGCCCATGAAGAGGTTGGCATATTGGGGAGCCATCCTAGTACCCATGGCTGTTCCCATGGTTTGAACAAAATGTTTGTTGTTGAATGTAAAATTGTTATGAGTGAGGATGAAATGGATGAGTTTGATGATGTGTTTGGGGTAGATATCAGAGGGTTGTCCATTGTCTTGTAAATATTTGAGGTCATCATTGTGAGGGATGTTGGTGTATAAGGAAATGACATCCATAGTGGTGAGGTTGGTGTTCCGAGGGAGGCTGTTAATATTGTGGACTTTGTGGAGGTAGTCAGTTGTGTCCTGGATGAAGCTGGCCTTTTGTGTGATGAGTGATTTGAGGATGGGTTCTATGAGTCCCAATATTCCTTCAGTAAGGGTGCTGTGGCCAGATGTGATGGGTCTGCCTGGGTTCCCTTGTTTGTGTATCTTGGAAGCATGTAGAAGATTGCTTGGGTGGGTAGGTGAGATTGTGGAGTTTCTCTTGGAGTTGTATGGGGAAGGATTTGATGGAATCCTTAAATTCCCGAGTAAATTGTGGTGTGGGGTCTTCTGAGTTCTTTATAGTAGGTGGTGTAAGAGAGTTGTCAGTTGACCTCTTTAATGTAGTCATCATGTTGAGGACTACAATGTCACACTCTTTGTTTGCCAGTTTGATCACTATCCGGTACTTAGATTTTTTTGGGTACCGTTTGGCTGTTCTTTTGGCGGGTGGAGAGATTATGGTTGATGTGATGTTTGTTAAGGATTTTGCAGTCAATTTTTTTTCCTGAAGTAATCACTGTAATGATCAAGAGTGTGGTTTTCTGCACTCTGTGCTATCCAGTCAGATGATTCTTTTTTCTTAACTTGTCAGTGGGAACATGGTAATTGTGAGTGGAGTTGTCATTGTTGTGAAAGAATTATTTGAGGCGGAGACAGTGGAAGAGTTCTTCTAGTTCTCCAAATATTAGTTAAACACCACAGAACCTGAGACCATGCTATGTTATTTGTTTGCAGTAGCACCTAACAGTCCCAGCCAGGATCTGAAACCCATTGTGCCTAGTGCTGTGCAAACACAGAGTGAGACGTCAGTACCTGCCCTAAAGATCTTACAGTCTAAACAGACAAGGCAGACAAAATGTTGGAGAAAGGAAGCACTATTATCTCCATTTTGCAGACAGGAACTTAGCACAGAGAGGTTTAGGAACTTGCCTAAAGTCACATAGAATGACTGCGGCAGAGCCAGAACTGAAAGCTGATCTTGAACGTTAGTACAACACTTTACCTACTAGACCTTCCTACTTGGATGCAGAATTTATATAAAGTTTTATTTCAGATGTACTTTATCAGAGCGGGGGTTGATTTTTGTTATTTTTTGCTAACTTTTCCTTCCATTCTGAATGTTTTGCCTCCTCCACATGTTAATTGCTCTAATCATGGACAGCAGCTGCAGGAGCTCATGGACAACTGGCACAATACCCAAGAAGTTACGCAATTTCTAGTTTGGGCCTGTTCAGTGTTATAACCATTAACTTGTTGAGTTATTGATAGTATGTTTCAGCAGAGAAATACCCTTAGTTCAGAAAAGTGGTCTATTCTTTGAGTGCAGTTCTTCTTGTTTAAGCTATTTATAAATAAATTTATAAATAAATGTTTGCTTTAAAACAGATGGATGACACTAGAAGATTTCAACTGCTTATTTGGGAAAGGCAGCAGGATCAGCGCTTGGAAAGGGTTTCTTCAGGTATGTTGGCAACAAGAAGAAAGCCAAGGAAAGTGTGGGCCCCTTACTGAATGAGGGAGGCAACCTAGTGACAGAGGATGTGGAAAAAGCTAATGTACTCAATGCTTTTTTTGCCTCTGTCTTCACTAACAAGGTCAGCTCCCAGACTGCTGCGCTGGGCATCACAAAATGGGGAAGAGATGGCCAGCCCTCTGTGGAGATAGAGGTGGTTAGGGACTATTTAGAAAAGCTGGACGTGCACAAGTCCATGGGGCCGGACGAGTTGCATCCGAGAGTGCTGAAGGAATTGGCGGCTGTGACTGCAGAGCCATTGGCCATTATCTTTGAAAACTCGTGGTGAACGGGGGAAGTCCCGGATGACTGGAAAAAGGCTAATGTAGTGCCAATCTTTAAAAAAGGGAAGAAGGAGGATCCTGGGAACTACAGGCCAGTCAGCCCCACCTCAGTCCCTGGAAAAATCATGGAGCAGGTCCTCAAAGAATCAATCCTGAAGCACTTGCATGAGAGGAAAGTGATCAGGAACAGTCAGCATGGATTCACCAAGGGAAGGTCATGCCTGACTAATCTAATCGCCTTTTATGATGAGATTACTGGTTCTGTGGATGAAGGGAAAGCAGTGGATGTATTGTTTCTTGACTTTAGCAAAGCTTTTGACACGGTCTCCCACAGTATTCTTGTCAGCAAGTTAAGGAAGTATGGGCTGGATGAATGCACTATAAAGTGGGTAGAAAGCTGGCTAGATTGTCGGGCTCAACGGGTAGTGATCAATGGCTCCATGTCTAGTTGGCAGCCGGTGTCAAGTGGAGTGCCCCAGGGGTCGGTCCTGGGGCCGGTTTTGTTCAATATCTTCATAAATGATCTGGAGGATGGTGTGGATTGCACTCTCAGCAAATTTGCGGATGATACTAAACTGGGAGGAGTGGTAGATACGCTGGAGGGCAGGGATAGGATACAGAGGGACCTAGACAAATTGGAGGATTGGGCCAAAAGAAATCTGATGAGGTTCAATAAGGATAAGTGCAGGGTCCTGCACTTAGGATGGAAGAATCCAATGCACAGCTACAGACTAGGGGCCGAATGGCTAGGCAGCAGTTCTGCGGAAAAGGACCTAGGGGTGACAGTGGATGAGAAGCTGGATATGAGTCAGCAGTGTGCCCTTGTTGCCAAGAAGGCCAATGGCATTTTGGGATGTATAAGTAGGGGCATAGCGAGCAGATCGAGGGACGTGATCGTTCCCCTCTATTCGACATTGGTGAGGCCTCATCTGGAGTACTGTGTCCAGTTTTGGGCCCCACACTACAAGAAGGATGTGGATAAATTGGAGAGAGTCCAGCGAAGGGCAACAAAAATGATTAGGGGTCTAGAACACATGACTTATGAGGAGAGGCTGAGGGAGCTGGGATTGTTTAGCCTGCAGAAGAGAAGAATGAGGGGGGATTTGATAGCTGCTTTCAACTACCTGAAAGGGGGTTCCAAAGAGGATGGCTCTAGACTGTTCTCAATGGTAGCAGATGACAGAACGAGGAGTAATGGTCTCAAGTTGCAGTGGGGGAGGTTTAGATTGGATATTAGGAAAAACTTTTTCACTATGAGGGTGGTGAAACACTGGAATGCGTTACCTAGGGAGGTGGTAGAATCTCCTTCCTTAGAGGTTTTTAAGGTCAGGCTTGACAAAGCCCTGGCTGGGATGATTTAACTGGGAATTGGTCCTGCTTCGAGCAGGGGGTTGGACTAGATGACCTTCTGGGGTCCCTTCCAACCTGATATTCTATGATTCTATGAAAGCATCACATATTGCACACTCTGCTATGGTAAGGCTGCTCATTTCACTTAACAAAAATCAGTGTTAATTGATACAGTTTTGTTGTATCCATGCACTGACCTTCACAGCAACAGGTCCTCCGGATATTAGTGCAATAATTTTCTAGCCAAGATAGATAGTAAGAATTAGATATAAGAATAAGAATGCTGTTTAGTTGTCCACTGCGTGGTGAAAGAAAAGATAAAATTTGGCATTTTCCTTCTAGTGGAAGTTACTCAAAATAGAGTTATGCTTCTGGGAAAAGAGGCTCATTTACTATAACTTCCACATTTCCAGGAGGGAGAAGAAAAAGGGAGTGGACGGGACAGTTATATTTAGGAATGACAGCCAACAGTCAGAAAAAAATAGCGTTTGTTCCAGTATCATTTATTTTGTTTAGGTTTCAAGGAAAGAAAAAACAGATGAGCTCTTCAACACATGTTGGGCATTTTCTGTTACTACTGCTGCGTTATGTCCCATGAGATCTCAGAACATAATTTAAAGGGAGTCAGTCAGTGTAGTTTATCGGACCAACTTAGAAGAGCTTTCAAAATAATTTTTAGGACAAACTTTTTAAATGAAAAACAAACAAACAAACCCTCACTGCAGTTTTAAAGTGATTGCTTTTGTTACACTGTAAAATAGCTTACAGTTCAATGCTTCCTGCCTAGATAAATGCAAACCAGATACAAACTGTGAAGTGACAGTTCCCCCACCAGTCATGGTGAACATGGACATCACTTATGTCATGGACAGCTCTGGCAGCATTGACAGCGATGAGTTTGAGAGAGCCAAAGACTTTGTGAGTACCATGCTCGATCACTTTATCACCTCACAGCCGAGGGGATCGGATGAAGGGGCGAGGGTGGCACTGGTGCAGCAGGCTCCTTGAAGCTTTATCTCCAACAGAAACCCAAGCCCAGTGAACAAAGAGTTTGATCTGATCACGTACAGTGGTAAACATTTGATGAAGAGACATATCCAAGAATCTGTTCACCAGCTGGAAGGGCCATCTGCCATTGGTAATGCTCTGCAATGGACAATTGACAATATATTTTTCAAAGCCCCCGAGCCGAGACAACACAGGGTCATATTTACAATACTTGGAAGTAAGACGAGTTCCTGGGACAGACAGAAACTGAGAGAGGTCTCACTGCAAGCCAAGTGCCAAGGATTCATCATGTTCACCCTAGCACTTGGAAACTATATTACCAGCAGCGAGCTGACAGAGCTTTCAAGCTTCCCAGCAGAACAGCACCTAGTGCAGCTGGGCAGGGCTCTGAAACTTGAAATGGCATATGCTCAGAGGTTTAGTCGTGTCTCCCAGTAGCACACAATCCGACTTACTTCTGTTATTGAAGCAATGAGAATTGCTTCACCATCAGTAATGCACATTCACCGTCAGTCATGAGAAGCACAAGAATTTCTAGTAATAGAAGTTTTTGAGTTTTTATAGTGTCATGCATAGTGTCGTCAGATGTCACCGGTGTGGTGCTCTGTTCTGTTCAATGTTGATAACAGCTGGCTGCGTGCATGTGTTCCCTCTGTGTGCTGTCCTGCCTCTGCGCAGATAGCTGACACAGCAGACCCCGAGAGAACCCCCAATGACCACAGACTCTCATAAGGTGCGAAGGCACCCGGGTTTATTGTCAAATGAAGCACAGTAATAGTTCCCTATAGACTCTACAGGACATACTACAAATATGTGCCCCCTGACAATGGACCTGCTCAGTCAGTGGCAGGACTCTCCACTGCCCCCTAGGCCAGACAAAGCTATCCACTCAGGGATGCATTCTTATACACAGGTACAAACAAGTTACACATCATTCCTGACGCTTTGAGGTAAAACCCCTCTGCGTGTTGAGGTGCTGCCTGTCTTCTGGTACATGTTGGTTCGAACAAACAACTCTATCCATCATATTATCCTTTTGACCCTGCCTTTAGGATGGGACAGCCTGTTCCTCACTATCTCTGTGGAATGTGTTTGTACCAGAATGTTCTGCACATGTTCATCCTATTAGTACTTGATACCTTTTAGATATGTGTATACGTGCAATTAGCAGCCTTCTTCTTGCCAACTTCTGTGAACAGGGCCTGCCTCTGGCTCACAGCTGAACTTGACTTTGCTAACATAAAGCATTGACCATTACTTTAGTTCAGGCCTCTGATACAAGGGTTCCTGTTTCAGGGCCTCATCTTACTACACTTAGTATACAAAAGAAGGTAAACTCCATTCTGATACTATGGTGATGAGCACCATAGAAATACCTATAATACAAAACATTACATTCTAATGATGTCTTGGGCCAAATTCTGAAGAGGATCAGGTGTGCAGTCAAGGAAGAACTAAGTTCTATTCCTGGTTTTACCACAGCCTTCCTCTGTGACCATTGGCAAATCATTTACTCTCTATCTCGTTTTTCCCCCACCTCTGTGAAGTGGGGATAATACTTCCCTATTTTCACAGATATGAGGAATAATTCATTAATGTTCATAAGCATTTTGAGATAAGCAATATAAAAGCATCAAGTCTAATTTTGAAGCTGTCATTGATTTCAAGCCACACCAGGAATACATTTAATAGAAGCTCCAACTTCTATAAAAAGATATTCAGTATATTAGAGAATCAGATGCATCTACACAAGGTGAATCTGGAGTTTCCTGAGCCTCAGTTATTGGACAGGCTATATGGGTGATATCCAGTGCTATTTTCTGTGGACTTATTTCCCCTTTCTCCTGTCTCTTGGTTCCAGTTTCTCTAGTTGTGCTATGCTTATTTATTGGAAAATCCTTACTTGAGTTCACAAGAATAATTTCATGCATTTTTTAGACTTTGCTATCTGTGCTCTTCCTACAGGGGGAATGAACAGTTATCCTTCTCCAGAACTGCGAGAAGAGTGTGAAGCCTTAAATCGAGGAGATGCACAACAGCAAGTAGCTGTTCTGGAGAGGTAGGGTAACTCCTTCTGAATTGTTTCAGGGGTGTGGGGAGTACAATTGCATATGTACAGCCTGTTCTCCAAATAAGGGACCTGTCCCCTTGAAGGCAATGGCAAAATTCCCATTAGCTTTTATGGAAACAGGATCAGGCCCAAAGTTTTCCATTAGGAATATCTTGAGCGAATGAGCCTTTTGCATCTTCTTCACATACAAACTATTGCTAAAGTGAGGTATTTCCCCTGCAGGATTCCTTTCCCTGAATTTGGTGGAGTTGACAGTGGTGGGAATTTGGAAGAGCTAATGGAAAGCAGAATGATAGAAGAAATTACAGAAGCCACTCAGGACGAACCTGTAAATGTCAGACAAGAAGAAAAATATGATTTTGAGGAGAAGAAGTATTTCACAGAGGGCAATGCCAAAGAGACCAAGCTAGAGGAATATGGAGAAGTCCCAGAGAAGAATGAAGAAAACTTAGAGGAGACAGTAGAAACTGGAGCTGCATATGCTAACTATGGTATGTTTCTAGGTCCTGAGGCAAAGCCCTTTGAAGTCAGTGGAAAGACTGCTGTTCCTTCAATGGGCTTTGTCTCAGACTCATAGTATTTAGTCAGTTCCCTGGCTTCTTAAGCTTTTTGTTGGCCATACAAATGAAATACAGCCTAATTTGCTTTGTGCTATTTCCATGTGTGTAACAGAGGGCAGAACTGGTGCTGTCATTTAGTCTTTAACTTGGATCTAGAATGTTTTATCAGAGAAATACAGCTGCAGTTCTAGTTAAACAAAACAAAGAGGCAGCTAATTCTTGTCAGTCCAAATTAAACTGAATCCTCAAAGCCTGCTAGGATATTGACACTTTCAGCAAATTGCTCTATTATTATTGAGCTAACAGGGCCGCTTCTTCTGAACACTAACCTTTCCTAGGACGACAGGCCTTAGCATGTGGGACAGTACATCTATGATTCCACTACTGCCCATTCTTGCACAAGGGACTGAGTCATCCATCAGGTATGTCCCCATCCAAACAGAGGCTCATCATACCCTGCCAGTGATAACTGTTCACTTTCCACCTAGCTGTGTGTATTTCATTGCAGATTTTCTTTATATGATGCAATAGGCTGAAAGTTAAAGATCTGGTTACTAGATATATTGTCACAAAAATTCCATAAGAGTTACCCACATTTAATTTAGTGGCTCCCCTTCACCTTTTTGAAAATCTACAACCCAATAGAATTCCTGTTGACAAAGGGCAGATGCATGGGTGTGGGGAGTGTTTGTATGTTGATCAACTGCTGCAATGCAAATACAATATAATTTACAAGCTGCAGCTTATGGTTCTCAAGTTAATTCATTGATAGTGATATAAACTTCTTAAAAGACTTGTATAATCTAGCAGTTCCCAAACTTCATTGGTTCAATTACCACCTACTTTAAAAAAATGTTCCATCAATTCACTGCATACACTTACCACTGCTTGGGATTCCCAGCTGTAAGGAGCTGTAACTGGCACTGATTTGCAATTCAGCATATCCATGCTGATGAGGAAGAAGGGTAGGATGGAGAGTACAAGATAAAGTTATTGTCCCACACTATTTTACATCCTCCTGTTTCCTTTTCTGATACCTGGCTTTCCTTCTGTGCCAGATTCTGGTTTCATACACTTGTGAAAATTTGGAGTCACTCCTTTGACTTCAGCCGAGTGAGTCTGAATTTACACGGGTGTAAATGTGGTCAAAATCTGGCCTGCTGTATGTCAGATTGCTGCAGGTTACACTACTTATACCTATTTTCTGAACAGTGTATTCCCACTATAACTTATCACCACTGAACTTGGATCAGAGACTTTCATGGATTTCTCCTGTTAAGCATGACCTTTAGTGTCGTTTGCTGGAAGAAGATGTGGTTGGTAACACCTCTTTATGAACACATCTACAATAGGATAAAATAAGAACAGTTTTTACATAGTTAAACAGTTCATGCTAACATGATTTGCCTGATCACTATAGACCAGGTATAACTGTTTTATAAACCAGCCTAGACACTAAAACCATATGGCCCTTCACTTCTGTTTTCCCCTATGTAGCTCCGCTCATTTCAAAACCTCAATAGTTGAAGTGAGAATAGAATCGTGTTCCCTCCAACCAGCCATGTTCTAGACAGACAACGTGTTCTCTAGTAAGACCTGAGAAAGCTTACTAATTCTGTTGTCTGCCAGCTTGAACAGAATATTCTTTGCCTCTGAAGTACCAGCTCTGATGATTTTGGTTCTCTCCCTCACAAACTTTAACCATAACCTTTATTTGCCTTTTTTAGATGCGTCTGCAGTGGATCATGATGGAGGAGAATGTCAAGATTACAATCTGAAATGGCATTATGACAAAGATCAGAAAGTCTGCACTCCATTCTGGTATGGCGGTTGTGGAGGCAACAAAAACAGATTTGAAACTCAAGAGGAATGTGAAGCTTTGTGCATAGCATCTTCTTAGAGTGGAGACAGTCAAACCACTTCACTTCTTCAACTATGCTGTAAGGACAATGGGGAAAAAGAGATTAAAAGAAAAAGCTCTAAGTTAACAATACTGCTTCTAAATTTCAGATAAAACAAATATATTCTTATTAAAATCCATGTTGCAAGAGGGCATTTTTAGTTGTTTCTTACCTGCTAACTGAATAATGGAAATGGAGTTACAAAAATTGATTTAGGAAGAACCGGTCTAGGAAATATTATTTTCTTAGCCAACAGTGCATTATTTAAAAGGGTAAGGTAAAAATTAATACTAATACTTGATACTGCTCCATAACACCAAAACATGCACTTTTTAAGCGTACTGAAGAAAATAAATCAATACCTCAGACATTTGTATAAAATAATATTGGAGTTGAGATGTTAATGTCAAAGTGTTTTGGTTCATTTGTCTGAATTAATCCTAGTTAAAGAATGGGTCAAAACAATATTTTAGCTCTCAAAAGATGTAGAGCTATGATAGGTCACTCTGCTCCGGTCTGTGTCTAATGTAGCCTCATTCTTAGCCTTCTTTTAAAGAACCCAATATGAATAAATTCTTTCTGCCTAAAATATTAAGGTGTGTGCCACTGTGTTTTTTAAAATTGATTTTGACAGCCTTGTAGATTGGCTTCTCAGCACATATAAATCAGCATAGCTCAAATTCCTTTCACTGAGGGACCAACACACAGACGAAATGCCAATGATTGTGTAGGACAAATACAGAAGAGTTAGGTCATTAGTGTTTGGTACTGCTGGGAAGCCATGTATTTTTCTTTAAAGCACAAAGAATTTCAGGTAAGGTTTGTTTTTGGTTTTTTAAGTGCACATGCTACTACTTTTAGAGCCTGTTCATGATGCTACCTGGCACTGAGTTGTATTTTGCCCAGTGGAAAAATGTGGCTTTACAGCCATAGGGCTAGATACACAAAGGGATTTATGTGCCTAACTGCCATTTTAGCCTCCTAAATCCAAAATTTAGGACCTCAAAACCCTAACTCAGCTAGACACCTTCAAGGACAGGTGACAAAGTCCTTAGGCACCTTAAATTTTGCCATTCAGCATGCACACAGTGCCACGGTCCAGACACCCAGCTCATACCTAAGGCCCAGCAGAATGCTCAGACTAGGTATTCCCCCGTCTAGCTCACTTGTGGGGCCTAATCAGGTAGCTGTTCTCAGAGGACACCTAACAGATCAGGCCATGCACAAAATATCAGAGGAAGATATGGTTCCCTTATGACCTTTAATGCAGTGGGTAGAGCACTCCCTCAGGCTGTGGGAGCCCCAGGTTCAAATAATCCCTTTGCCTGATTTGGAGCAGGGATTGGAATCTCTATCTCCCACCTGGCAGGAGTGTGCCCTAACCGCTGGGCTATGGAAAATTCTGGGGTGGGGCTTTTTCAATCCCTCCTGCTCAAGCTGTGCCACGTTGTAGAAATAATTAAATAAATGGTCATTGGAACGGGCATTTGAGTCTCTGACATCCCAGGCGAGCACCCTAGCCATTGGGCTACAGCATCACTCACCCTCTTTTTCTGTCCCAATGGATATTTAATTACTTACACAAAGTGGAACAGATTCAACAGGAGAGACAGACCTGACCCAGAGTACCCCATCTCCTAGTGGTTATGGCAGTCTCCGGAGAGGTGGGTTCCAATCCTTGCTCCCTAGCAGGCAGATGGGGATCTGCACCTTGATTTCTCATATCCTCAGTGAGTGCTCTAATCCCTGGGCTAAAGGTTAAGGGGTGGGTAGAGGCAGTGGCAACATCACCACCATTTTTTTGGGGGGGGCAAGAAAGGGCTTAGGCGCCTAACTCTAGGAGAGGAATCAGGACTTTGAGGGGCTGGGCATAGGCCACGCTCCTCTCCTCATCATTTCCTTTTGGCTAGCTTAGGTGGCTCCCCACTCAGCATGCATCCTATTCTTCGGTGCCTAACCCTCCCCTTGCAGTGTATTGGGAGCCTCGGCACTCAGCTTGAGGCTGTGACTTTCATTAGGCGGCAAGGCACCTGAAAGAAAGTGAAGCGACACTGAACCTAAGTCCCCTTTGTGGCTCTAGCCCATAGCATCCTATTTGAAACAGTATACAGCTTGCCCCACATCAGTGGTGGTCACATAGCACTTACAACGCAATCTAGTCTCCCTCCTGGAGGAGGTGATATCACAGTGATATCACCCACCAAATGGTATCCATTTGGCTGCAGCTGGAGAGTATGTGTGGTGGGATTGGATTGTGTGTGTGTGGGGTGGAGGGGGCTGATTCTCTGTGTTGATTGGAGAAATAGTTAATTGATTTCTTATTTAAAAAAAGCTGATGAAAACATGTTCTAAAGCCTATCCTGCTGAAAGACTCTGGCCAATCTTAAAGCCTCCAGGCCTCCTGATCTCCTATGGGGAAAGTCAGCAATGCCACTGAAACCGGTCAAGTTTGCAGCAGGATATTCATAGAGTTCAAGCTGAGAAGGGAACAGTAGATCATCTAGTCTGATCGTCTGTATATCACAGGCCATTAACTTTCACCCAGACTACCCTGTATTGAGTCCAGTAATTGTGTATAACTAAAAGCCTGTCTTGTTTAGTTAAAGCAGATCTTCCAGTAAGGCAACCAGAAGTCCATGGTAGCAAACCCCAAGCAAGGACTGGAGTCCAAAGAGCCTGATTTCCCCCCCTCACCATGGTGTAAATCAGATGTATGTTCATTGATGTCAAAGGAGTTACCCAATGTAGGCTTGGAAGGATTAGATTTTAAATTAGTAAATGTCAATTTCAATATATACACAAACAGATGAAAAAAATATTTCCCCTGGTAATAATCAAAGTTTACAGATAAGCAAGAAAAATGCTGCTTGAGAACTAGAGTTTGATTAAAGATATTTACTTTGTATATATTGCTATGTGCTGTTGACAATGTTTTAACAGGTGTGCAGCTTTGACTTTTTGAATCTCAATATCATTAAATAATTGCCTGACCCCATCCCATTTATTATGAAAATTTAAATCAAAAATTGAAAAAAAAATGCTTAGATATGTCATAATTATAGAACAATACAGATTGAATTCTGCCAACACTACCCTTGTAAAAGTGGGATCAGCATCAAATCCTCAGGGAAAGATTTTACTATTAAACCTTAGTTACTATTCAAAGTTAACAGTACACATGGGAGCCTGAAACCACTACAAATGTTCAGTTCAGAATTGGAATTTAGTTTGTAGAATAAAAATAAATGTGCATTTGTTACCAAACTGTCCAAGCACAAAGAAGCCACACAGAATCCTTTTGTTTCCTTTGACTGTGAGAACTAAAGCGCACATTTTAACAATCCTTTTTAAAAAAAAATTAATGTAGTACTTGTGATATGTACCAAACTGACAGATTGGGAAATTAAGTGCACTATCCATTACAGGCAATGTCAGTGCAAACAGTCATACATGGTACCTCACTGTTATGCTAAGAATCAGTTGCTGGAGAGTGATCCTGTGAGGTAAAGCGGCAGTTAAATCACCCCTGGGCCTTTCTGAGACTCTCAGTTTGGTGGTGGTGGTGGTAGGGGTTACATAGGCATTATCAGCCTATAACTAACATCTCACGTACATAGATTTATAATTTTTTTTAGCATAAATTGATCAACCAGTGCTGACAGGACCAAACAGTGTCTGAAACACGATCTAGTTTAGGAGCTAAATTAGACACTAGCATAAAAGAATGCAACTCAGTTGATTTAAATTGAGTTCATGGTTTGGTTTCAGTAGTGTTTAATTCCAGAAATTGCTTTCATGTCCACTGACCTCAAAACTGTTGTGCTTGCTTGTGCTGGTAAATAAATTGGCCATGCGTGTCTCTCTGGTCAACAATGCTCAGAAGTATCCGGTTTGCTGGCTCTTTCCCCTCATCTTAGAATCAGCAATAACAGTTCCAGTATAAAAACACTGCCACTTGAAATTTAGGTGATGAGAAAAGGAGACAAATCAGACAGTTTCCTCCAAGTTATATATTTACATGCAATGTCTACAGATATATTTAAACTGGAAACCTGTGGTGGAAGTTCTCTTAAAAGATTCTGGCAATGTTATGTGCAGTTCTTCAGTTAATATAAGGGTGCTAGCATTCTCTTTGAATTGGCTATTATCCTTTTGGGCTTAGGTTTGACTAAATCTGGTTAACATCAGAGTTCGGCTGTGTGTATCAGTTTGACTTAAGTGCATCTGCACTGAAACTGATGGGCTCAGACAACACAGCAACTGGTATGGCATAAGCACTTGAATATAAAATAAGCAGTGGAATTGTATTGATATAACAGATAGCAGAAAATGTCTTGAAGTGTAATAACCAGGAGAATATACTGAAACCTTCCTAAAAATAAAGAATCGTAAAAAGAAAAATTTATCTTACTCTCCTCTATTGTCACTGAACAGCAGTCTACTATATTTACTGTGAGCTTGATCCTGGAAGTTTTCCCCACTGATTTCTCCAGATTTGGCCCTGACATGGATTATAACAGACTTCACAAAATGTTGTGCAAAATGCATGCTCACATGTTTGCCATGTTATTACCGCTGAGCTATAAAGACACTTTGTGCTAGTTTCCAAATTCTTTGGAAACAATTCAATGTATACTGACTGATGGGATAGAGGTGCTAATATGCAACGTATGGATAGAACACCACACAATACGTGACTGTTGTGAGGTACATACAAGCCTGAAGAGGCAAAGTTTTCAAAAGTGCCTAAGGCAGCTAGGCACCAAACTTTAAGACACATGAAAGATCTCACCCTAGTTACATAGCTAGGCATAAGACTGAATCCAAGAGACATCAGCACTCAAGAAGTACAGGTGTCCCACGGCAAACCCTAGAGTGTATCATTGAGTTAGAAAACAGCATAATAACCTACTCGGACTCTGTAAAAAGTACCTCAAGAAGTTCCATGCTGTGTGGCTGTTGTCCTGTAATCACAAGACCATATCCTAAGTCCTTAGTTTAAATGCCCATTGAAGTCAATGGAACACTTTAAGAAATGTCCTGTAGAATAGATAGGATTCTATATAAGATATTAGACCTATAGCAAGAATAACCTTTCCATAAATTTTTATGATATCATTCTTAATCAAAAGAATGAGCCTTCAGAGAGAACATGGTTTGTTCTGGAAATTCAAACCTTTTGTCTGCAAGAGGCTCCTAAAGGAGAGACTTCCTCACCATCCAGCTATAGGCCAGCATTCTCTTGCAGCAGTGGTGGGGTACTGAGGGCGCTCTAGCCCAGTGTTTCCCAACCCGTGTTGGGTGTGTTGTCAGGCCTGAACAGTGTGCTGTGGAATTTTTTGGAAAAACTCCATGTGAGCACAAAAACCCTTCCTTTGTATTTTAATTAGTATTTTAATTAGAGCTGGATCACAGTCTGTACTTTTGCTTTTCTGGACGAGGCTCCTTTCAGGTATTATACATGTGTCACATTCCATTCCCTAAAGTGAGGTTCAGAGAGCAAATCTGAGTCCTGCAGAATGGGGACGGGGAAGAGGAAGCTGCATTCTGATTGGTCATCTGTCTCACTGCTCC